GTGGGCGCCGTGGCCCTGGGACGCCGCGAGCCACGGCGGCGCGCGCGGCACCTTCTCGCCGCGGCGGAGCTTGGAGGTCGTGTGGTCCGGGCGCCGCTGGAGGATGATCTGCTTCATGGCGTCGTAGCCGCCGGGCAGCTCGCCGCCGTGGACCTCGAGCTGGTCGAGGAAGAAGCGCAGGTCCGCCTCGGACTTTTTTTGGGCCGCGCGCGACGACGACGACGCGCCGCCGGGGCCGGACTCCGTCGACGGCGCGAAGGAGAGCCCCCCGTTGGGCAGGAGGGCCAGGGACCCGTGGTCGCCCAAAGACGCGTGGTCGCCGAAGGACGCGCGGGACCGGTCGTCGTCGGGCCGCTGCACGGAGTCCGCGTCCTTCTTCGACGTCGACAGGTCCTTCAAGAGATCCTCCGGCGCGTCGTCCGGGTCCGCGTCCGACTCCGACTCCGGGGGCGCCCAGAGGCAGTCGTAGAGGTAGAGCTCCGAGGAGGAAAACCCGTCCTGGGGGTCCGTCGGGTGGAGCTTCTTCGTCCGCGCGCCGCCGTAGAAGAGGAGGCACGGCCCCTGGTTCACCAAAGCCTGCGCCGTGACGCCCTGGACGCGCGGCCCGCCCGCGCGCTCCGCGGCCTTCTTTTCCTCGGCGCGCGCGGCGGCCTGGGAGCCGCGGCGCAGGTTGCGCTTCGAGCCGCCGGGGATCACGATGCCCCGCTCCTCGAGCTCCGCGCCCCGGTCGCGGCGGAGCTTGGACATGCTAAGCTTGTGGCCGTTCCAGGGGAGGCAGACCATGCCGTAGGACGGCGGCGGCGGCTGGCCCCGCGTCGGCAGCTTCCGCATGAGGGGCACGTCGTCCGTGACGCGGATCGCCCGGATCGTCACCGTGTCCTCCAAATCCTCGTGGCTCGGCAGGAGCTCCGCGACGGGCGGCGGCGTCGTGTCGCCCAGGCTCGGGTGGCTCGAGCCGTGGGCCTTGGGCAGCAGCGTGTTCACCGTGTTCCGCCGCTGCATGAGGTGCCGCTTCTTGACGCGCTCGTAGCCGCCGACGATGAGCAGCTCGCCGGGCCGCGTCGGGCTCTCGCACGCCGCGTGGCCGTGGATCGGGTGCGAGGGCCCGTCGAAGTCCAGGCGCGTCCAGACCAGGGTCTCGAGATCCAGCGACGCGATGTCCTGGAGCGCCGACCCCCATTTGAGCGTCGACGTCGTCACCGTCGGCTGCGTGATGTCCTGGTTCGGGTCCGCCTGGACGTCGCAGTAGGGCAGCGTCATGCCGCCGACGACCCAGAGCTTCTCGCCGATTTTTGTGGTTGTGTGCTCGAAGCGCGCGGCGGCGTCGACGCAGCCCGTGCACGGCAAATGGAACCAGCGCATGGTCGCGAGATCGAGGGCCCACTGCGGCTGGCCGAGCACGTTCTCGAAGCCCTTCGGGTCCGGGCCCGCGCCGCCCACGAGGACGACGTAGCGCGGCGCCTCCTCCTCCTGGAGCCCGTTCAACCGTAGGGACACGTTCGCGGCCGCGTCGGCGCCCTCGCCGTTGCCCTCGCCGCCCTCGCCGGCCATGCCGAAGTCCGCGAGCGACCCGCCTGTGCCGAAACCAAATCTTCAACCCGACTTCAATGTGAGCGTATTCGAATGTGTTGACACAAGCTCTTCGGCTGGGCTTCGAGAACTCGACGAGAGCGATCGATCCGTCCAAAAATCAGCCGAATCGACTTCGATTTGACCGAGCTAGAGAATTCTCAAGTTTGGTCAGGACCACCCAAACCAGTGGTTGGTTTCGGCACAGCGACCCGCCCGTCTGGCTCAGCGCGTCCTCGCTCCGCGCGCCCGCGTCGTTCTGCTCGTCGGCGGCGTCCGCCAGCTTGTAGCCCGACGCGAAGGAGCAGGTGTGGCCGCGCCGCGGCGGCGGCGACATCTGGACGAAGGTGATCTCGCGCCACTCGCCGGACGCGGCGTCGAACTCCCAGCAGTCGCTGAACGTGTCGCGCATCGCGAGCATGCGGACGCGCATCGTCGCCCCGGGCACGCCCTCGCGCGACTTCTTCACGCGCCGGTTCACCTCGCCTAGGCCGCCGAGTCAGGTAGAGCTTGCCCTGCTCCTCGTCGCCGCACATCGCACTGCCGCTCCGCGCGGGCGGTCGCGGCGCGCCCTTGGGCGGCAGCAGGCGCTGCCACCGGTGCATGACGCTGTCCAGC